GTACTCTGGTTCCATTCTACTTGAGTTTTTTACTGTTACACCAGATCTCATTTATCCAGGCAGTGCTTTTATTGTTAGCAAAAGTCCTGCAGATGCAAGAAGCAGAAGAGCAATTGTGAAAAGGATGAGGTAAAACCATTTCCAATACTTTTCACCTCTTTCGAAGTCTGTGAATCAATCAAAAGTAGTCTGAGCAACTGATGGCCCAAGCCACTAAACTGCGAGTACACATTCTATGGGTTAATATTCTTCAAAATATTCCAACAGTTCCTGTCATTAAAACTGTCCTCTCAACATGCAATGCCTCAAACTGAAGGCAAAGACTCTAAAGAGTAAGTAAGCATAATAAACAAAAAAATAAACTGCGAGTACACGTTCTATGGGTGATATGCTCCAAACCCACAACTGATCAGACTTGCAGAACATGTTTTAAGACATTATCACCATCTCACTTCAGTGCATGTTAATGTTTCCTCTTTTCCCTATATAATGGAATTAGCTGAAGTTGATTTTTACATTTTGCCTAATACCAAACAATAAAACAGCTGTGTCAAAAAAAAATCAAATGGTCACCAGTAGCGTATCTGTGCAATAAGGAATTTGAGGATCCTGTACATCATTTAAGATGTCATACATTTTGCATTTCCTTCAAATTTGTGAGCTTTAAGAATAAACAGGAAGAAAAAATGTTTATCTTCCTTTTTTATTGTACTGGCTGGTGACAGTAAATAGCAAGACAGACCAAGATATTAAATATTATGAAAGTTGGAACACAGCAGCCACCTTTTTAGGACCTTTCTTTATGAAGTAGTACAAAGACAATAATAAACTGCTACTCATGAGCTTCTCATCATTATAAAGTCATTACAACCATGTATCATACAGTATCTATGTAACTACACATAACCACATCCAGTGGTGTCTCAAATACAACACACGTACTGTACAAAACTTGCATAACATTTATTTTTATCTCTAGAAGAGTTATTACTTTGCAGAAAGCTTAGGAAATATGAAAAATGTAATTACTGAAAACTGAACAGTGTGCTGCAAAAAGGTGCAAAATCAGTTTGAGTTACGAAATGAGAGGAACAAACAGTCTTAAAGCTTCTGTGAAGGTAAAGTCAAAGGAAAAAGCAGCAACATCAAGTTCTGGCAAATAAAGTGGGTTCAACTTCTTCAGATGGGGAAACAGAAATATAGAGTCCTGAGTAAGAACAGTCAAATTTACATGTTGAATACCAGCTTTTGTGTAAGTCTGTGCAGCTCACACGTTTTCTGGTAACGACAGACAGACCAGCAAGACCTAGAGGAGTCAGCTTACCATTTGTTTTTGATTTTCCTCTGTGCTGTCCAGAATCAGGGCACTGCAGCAGCATGCTTGGGTGAGCAGATGACTTATTTGAAGAAATACATTTTGCGACAACTGATTTTTCAGAAGAAAGTTCCTGCGAAATATCTGTGTTTTCTTCACTGCCAGAGTATTCTGTAAAATTGTGTTATTGTTAGCAGTCTGTGGTCAAGAAAAGCTGACAGGAAAAAAAAAAAAACACCCAGCACCATGCATGCCCATAGCAAGAATGTATCATTCACTGAGACAGTTTCCACTCCATTATGCTAGAACTCCAGGACTCCCCTATGCTGCTGAAAGATTTGCAAGCTTTCCAGAGGCATGAAAGTTTTTGTCTGAATCAGAAATATCATATGCAGCTCAGTCATCCTTCACTGCTTATATAAGTGAGAAAGGCTCAAGGAACCAGTCTTTTCAGCTTAAGTATTCTTTGGGGTGAGTATGTCCACAAATGCTTTTGCACTACAGACACAAGCACTGTTAGCTGGACACCTCACAGCCCGCTGTTACTCACATTCCCTAATCTCACAGACCAACTGGACAGAAAGCACCTCTTCTTTTACCTAGTGTATGGAACAGGATGCAGGGGTGGAAACTGAAAGCCCTTGGTAGGAACACACGCAGAAAACACCTAGAGCAGTTCCTCTATGAAGTACCCATCTGTCACATCCTGGACTGTATGTTGCCGTATATACTGTATAATATTACTGTGCAAGACTGTATATTGGCTGTTTGCAGTTATAAGTAGCACCCTTCCAAGTTTCTGGACTGAAGAATCACAACGGCAACATGAAGAAAAAACCAAGCAATATTCTACAACCCAATGGGAGATGGACATGCAGTTTGTGGGTACTATTCGTGCAACTACTGCATCAGTCTACAAAGTATACTTTGCATATTATCATTATATTTGAGGGCACTATATAATCAGAAACTCACTAAAATTTTGTTCCACTACAATTCTGAGTCAGTCTGCCTGTGGTTCTCTCTCCCCTTCAACCCTCTCATGACAGCTTGCTCTATTTCTTCATGGCAGCCAACAAAAAAGGTATTTTCTTTTCCCAACTCCTCCATAAGGAGCTCTAGCATAACAAATTATGCATGATATATTGAAACGTGCTGCACTAATGATCCTAGACATCCAATGGCAGAGGAAGTTGCCATGCTTGATCTGTAAACATTTCACTAGAGAAATCTTTCAGAATCACAGTTTTCAGAAGCAAAGATTCTAACCTCAAACTCCACCTGGGCCTACACATGAAGTCCAGTGTGTAAAGTGGCCCAAGGAAAGCATTCCCAATCAACGGAGAAAACATGTTCCTACTACAAACCTATTAACGTAGGTGGAACACCACGTTATGAGACAACAGAGGGACACAGCAACAGTACAGACTTTAAATCAGGATTTTACTTCATCTCTCCAGAAGAGGAGAGATTCATCCTTTAGGAAAAATATTTAGGATATGATAGGTTTAATAGGACTCATTGTCACAGCTTCTGAAATCTCACACTAAGTGAAGATATAAGAAATAACAAGCTTAATGGAAAAAAAAAAAAAGAAAAAAGAAGAGGACCCATGAGCATTTCCAAACTCCATCATTGATACAGGTGTCCCAGAACTAACTCATACAACAGAGAACAAGTGGTACATGGGGTATTCAGATCAAGGGGATCTGCACCCTCTTCAACTGGGTAAAACTTGCATACAATTACACTTGCTAATGAAAAGTCAGGCTTAAAGACTGACATACCCACTTTGGAGTCAGATACAGTCTGTGCCATTACAAGCACTACTAGAAGCCATCATTCAGCACTAATGATGCACCTCAACTAGGAAATAAATTGTCTTGCCAATACTAATGTATTAACCACTTAGTTCTGATAATATTAACAGGTGAATGAAGATAGCAGTCTTATCTCCAATGGTCACTCTTAACAGCATGGAACTGAGTAACAGGCAAAACAAAATAACGATACCATTTTCCTCTACAGAAGGAAAAAACAGAAACAAAAACAAACACTTTTACCAGGCTTAGTTCTCTTTTTCTTTCTTTTCTTTTTCTTGGACTTGGACCTTCCACAGTCTTTGGATTTTCTTTCTTTGTTCTTCTCATGTTCTTCAACAGCTGAAATTAGACAACATTCCAATTTAATTTTCAAGAGATATATATTTACATACACACACAGGTATTGTATTAATTTCTTAAAGACCTCCATGGTTTCTCTGGACAATCAAGCCCAGTTCACTACAAGAAAAACTGTAAGGAAATTTAATTGCAAGAACTTCCAGCTCTCATAATTGGAATGGTTGGATATAAGTCCTAATTTGATTGTCCCATAACAAAATTACAATAGCATCAACAGTACAACAATGTCCATTTACTACTTACATGCTCCAGAGATTACTAAAAGAAGAAAATACTAGGTGATTTGTTATATCCATTTTCTAAACTATTATGGCTGAACATTCCAGTAGCATTGTGACAGAAGTCTGACAAGAACAAAACCACAACCCCCCAAAACTCTAGTACAGTTCCTCAGTCAAATATTTTGTTTTCATTAAAAATGGAGTAGCAACTGGTTCAGATGGCTTTAACTGGTCACCATCTTCCTCCTTCCCATATTTATGGCAATAAGAAACCCACCATCATTTTTGAAAGCCTGGGTGGTATCTTTCAATGAATTCCATCCTCAAAGCATGCTTCCAGAGTACGTGCCCTGCTGCAAGGCAATGCACACAAGCCCTTGCTTTCCGTATCCTAGCACTTGTTTTACAATGCCTGTCTTTGAGATTTAGGTCTCTGCAGCAGAATTTTTAGATATTCATACAGTTCCTTAAGTAATTATCCTGACTCAGCCGATACAATAGGGACAATCATAAAAATCTATTATGGAAGGATGCCTTGCATCTCTAAAGGGCCCTGCTCTCAGAGTGCTTAGATGATTAAGCCACTCACCATCCCATTTGGAAATCTATTTCAATTTCTGATTATTGATAACAGAAGCACCTAAAGACACTCTATACAGTAAGAAATCTTCTCCTACACAAAACACTGAAGAACCCTAGCCAGTCTGTAACCACTCATGAAGCAAACCAGCAATACCAGCCTATTATGTTAAACTCTCTTGTACATGTTAATACTAAACTCCCCAAATCACAATTAAAGGTTCACATTTATGGTACAAACAGCTCACTAAGAAACATCTGTCATGTATTACCAGCTGTGATGAGCATGCAGGATATGCTCATTAGCTTCTCCTCATGAGAGTCTTCAGCTCTGTATCTCGCCCTCCTTTTAGTCCTTGAGCCATCTCCTGCTACTTTGCCACTTGCGTTCCTCATCTGGCACATCATCAGTGGCAGTACTAAAACTACGCGGTGCCAGCAGCCACGCTAACTGCTGACACTGATGGCAGCCTGCCATACCAACAAAGGCAGTATGACTGGCAGCACAAAAAACAAACTTCACCCCTCCATGTTACCAGGGGTTCATATTTGTGTCTCAGCACAGAGCTTCCAACTTCCTTCTTACTTTCCTTTGTCCCCATCTCCAGTGTGAGTATCCTCTGGGTACCATTTCCTTCTCCCTGCTCATACGAAGGGATGCAAGTAAGTTCTGTCATTTTATTCTTCCAGGAGGAAAATAACAGAGTAACTGTGGTCAACATAGGTAAGAAAATTTTGCACCTTTCATTTGGAAGTTGAAATTTGCAGGATCAGACCGTCTGATTTAAGATATCAGAGCACACAGAGTATGCTACTCCAGTAACATATCCATGAGAAATTGCAAAAAGCCGTCACTTCGTTCCACACTTTTTCCCCTTGAGCTGGACAGTATGTCTCTTAAAAGAATCTGAAAAAATGCAAGCATTTACAAATTTCTGTGTACAGCTATCTTCTTAACTGCACAACAAAGTTAAAGCAGGATTTTTTTTTTTTTTCCTCGAAGGGTGGGGAGACACCATCAAAAAAACCAATCAAAAAAAACCCTGCAAAGAACGAGTATTATAAAAGAGACCTTCCAAAAACCCTGTACTGAAGAATCTTCTTCTCTCAAGTTGTTTCTTGTAAGGACTCTAACACCTAATGAACTCTCACTGAAAAAAAGCCAGAAAAGAAGGCTACCTAGGTTAGGAGCATCCTTATTGATTCACGTGATCAAAGAGAAAGGCTTTATATAATGCTAAACATTTATCACACAACAACTAGATTTAAAAAAAATTTTTTTTTTTTTTTGCACAAACGTAAAACAAGCTAAGCCCTCTTTTAACTTCCTTGAATGGCAGAGAATAATGAGGACCAGGATGAGTACTCAGTCACACCCTCCACCACCACTGTGAAAGGTTATTCTGATCTCCACATGCCATACTCTCAAGTATGCGTCCTACTGAGTCAGCCCCATGAAGAGCACTGATGGATCTTTCAGACCTTCCTACAAGGGAAGCCAGCAAATGATGACAAAGAATAAACAGGGGTGGCAAGCACTCACTGACTACTATGACCAACAGAACACCACAGTGACAGGCAAGTGAGGTGATCCTTACAAGACTAGCTCCAGAACAGAGATCACCCATTACAGAGCAGTCTAAGCACAGATGTTTTTTATATTTTCCTCATCACTCTGACTCCAATTCTCACCACATGTCAGAAGAAAAGCAGTGATGTGGTAGATCTAGGGTGCTAGAAACAATGTATTATTTATATATATAAATGCATTTATTTAAATATTTTGTGTGTATGCTCACGCGCACACCCTGCCCCCTGTATGGCTGTTACCCGCCTATACTACAGTAGATTCCACTATAAACAGGGTTTGCATTATCTACCACTGAACAAAGTCACAAAGTAAAGCTCTTCAGAAACATTCAGTAGCAAGTGTTGACTACCAGTAGTCAAATGCTATAAAACAAAATAGAAAAGAAAAAAAAAAAATAGGCTTTCCTGCCCACCCCTCCACACCCCACTTTTTTTGTTTTCATGGCTTTATTAAGTTTAGGTATCTCAAGTTCAGGATTACCTAAAATATTTAATGCTTCAGACAACCAAGACCTTAACAGAATTAAGACACGTGTCAAACAAGCAAAAAACAGGCAAGAATCTTTTCATGCCCTTAAAAGACTTCACTGCTTTGTACATCTTAAAAATATTACACACTGACTGGGAAGAATAAACCACAATGGGTACGGCAAGAAAACGTACAAGATTCCCTATATTGCTTCTTCATTTGAAACTACTGGAAAGAAACAGTGAAAACCCACCACTTCTATTTCACACTGTACATTAATAACAGACCCTCAGCAAGTATTCTGTATTTCTTCTTTTAATCAATATTATCAGTTCCTTACAAAGATTAAAACTTTTCCAAGACTTTTCGAAGTTTAACTTTTCCACGTTAAACTAAAAAGGCGTACCATTTCCAACTCTTTCTCTTTCTTGAGGCTTGCGCAGTGATCTCGCTATGCGGTTCTTGGTTTGTTTTCTAACAGAATGTCGGGGACTATGTAATGCACTTACAGGAGTTGAAGTTCTTCTCTTTTCTATCTTTTCATCTCTATACGGGGTACTCCTTAGGGCTATGTGTAGAGGAGCATCTACAAAGAGAATAAAGACCAAGTCCAAACTTTAAATACTTTCAAAATGTAACTCCACCTCAACAGCAGCGGTTCTGGCAGTCCATGTGGAGCATTTCTCATCAGACACACTGCTCAACTCACAATCCTACCAACTTGGCTATGGAGTGCTTTTAAACAGAAGCTGACAAAGCCTAAAACCTGTAATGCTTTTGTTGGTTTGAGTTCGGATTTTTTCTTTTTTTTTTTTTCCCCCCCAAAGAGAAACAGTAGATGTAAATGCATTCCCCAAAGCTCTGTTCTTCCAGAAGAACTTGGAAGATGGAAACAGTTCAGTTTGGTAGAGATATAGGTCAGGTAATTAGTTTTTTTAAGAGAAAATTAAAAAAGGGCCTGCTGATTTACTTAGAGAAACCACAGCCTGTTCTCAAAAGTGTGCTTTGTATTGAGGCATACTGAAGTGACATAGAGAAGCTCTGCATACCTAAAGGGCAGTTTTTAAATACATACCACTGAAACAAGTGTTTCAACTGAGAGCAAAGTGCAAGAACTCAGGATCACTACCTGAAGTTCATAAAAATCATTAGATACAGACATGACTTCATGTGGGATTCCATTTACTATTTAATTCAAGTCAAATATTTCTCATCATCCT